AGGAAAAACTTTGTGAATAAACAGCTGTTCCAGCTTATGATTCTAGTTCACTTTACTTAGAGACAGTTTTTTCCAACAAAAGAAGCTCTAGATAGTTTCCCAGATCAAATACAGTTATAGTAAGAGAATGACATGTTAGAAAAAAACAGAAAAACGTAGAGGTCCAGTAAATGATTGGAATGGATCTAGTGGAAATACTGGAGAGAACACGCGACTTACTGGCTTGTAAGTTTAAAAAAAAGTTTTAACCGCATTTGTAGACATAAAACTCCGTGGACCAAAATGGTGAAAAGACTCCATTTTCAAAAGAACTGTTAGTCTGCAATTTACGTTATATACCTGATAGTGTAATGTAAATGAGAATGCTTAATTCACAGAACATTTAAATACTCATGACAATCAAAATGAATGGTAGAATTGCTTGGAAAAACATTTCGAGGTTCCTTCACCTATGAAAACGTGGACTTACCAAGACTGAGATCCAAAACCATACCAAGCCAACTGAAGGATTTGAAAGCCAAGGCCAAGGAGAACTGTATTTTTGTTCCCTATCGACCTCATCAAGATACTGAGAAACACAGTCTGCAAGAGAAGTTAGTTCATCCAATAGCTCAGAAAAAAAGTCATCTCTTTAGGTCAGGTGAATTAGTACACAAATACACAATTAAAGCCCACAAGTAAATCCTGCAGCTTTTCCAAATTCACCACAGGCACTGCAATTTGGCTGAGGCCAATTCCTAGACATCTTTAATTACATTTTCTGCTAACTCTTTACACCACTTACATGACCTTTTTATTTGGACATGGAAACTAATTCTAAGGGAAGACCACTGCTTTTCATCTGTTAGAAGCGTTACTCCTGAAGGGGAAGGAGGTCCCAATTCAGATATAACAGCAATACACCCATGGCAAGAAGCAGACTGTTCCTACTAAGGCAAAGTCCATATGGACAACTTCATTCTGTTAACAGTCCACACATTTTTCCTTAACACAAGAAACTCAGCAGTGTGTCAGTAAAAAACAGAGAAAAGGAACCAGAAGTACTGCAGAGCAGAGCACGCTTCCTCCCTTATGCACATCTTACACTAGTTCTCTTCTTTCTTATTCTTAAGCAAAACTAGTTTGAAAGCAAAATAGCAAAAATACAGTAATTCTATCTGCATGTGACCAGTTCTTTCTGGAAATATCCAACATGCCAACACAAATCAAGTGTCTATGAAGCAAAGCTTATTTCAATAAGCTGCACTCTTCACATAGTTCAAAAACGAATGCAGTGTTTCCTCATTTTAACAGTGGAAATTGTGAACCAGAAAGGCAGCCTTTTAAGGATTTTTAGCAAAAACACTGGTCTGAATAAAGTATGATTCGCGCACGTGAGTGCACATAAAAGCTTTAGAACAAACCAGAGAGCAAAGATTAAAACAATGACTTATATTGATAAGGAAGGACACAATTGACACCAGTAAAACTGGTGAACACTGAGGAACGTGTTGTTTACATCAAAAGATTGAGACTTCCACTCTGCTAAGGACAGCAGCAAGGTTACAGCACATTGTATGCGCCAATCCTCTTCCGTTATTAAAATAAGATGACAAACAGTACCCATAAAGATACCAAAGATCACGTAACAAAAACTGTTTCATTTTTCAACGGTATAAAGGACTTGTCCAAAAACTAGCTCACTGTTGCCAATGAAGAGGTATGAAAGCTACATACCAAGGCCTCACAGCTCCCTCCGCCTCCATACTGAGCCTAAGTAACCCTGGACAGACCATGCCAATACCTGTATCATTTGTATGTAAGTTTGATAGCATGAGCCAACTGACCAGGTGCAAGTAGCAGGAGTTTTGTTTAAAATAAACAGAATGTTTCCCTTTCAGAAGGTCTTGCATTAAGTAACCAATGTCCTACATAATTTTAATCATTTAAAGCCAGAGTTCCAGTAAACTCACTGATCTAAGCTTAGTAAATCTTAGTTTCATCTTCTGATGTCCAGGTCCAGTACTTTTAAGGAAAGCAGACTTAAAGCAAGACATTCATGCAGGCAATGTATGAATATAGCCTTTAGTGAATGCAAGATACACTGGCATTTTCCAGCATTTAAGAAGTTTATACACTAGCTTAATAGTAAGGCAGCATGCCTCAGCATTCGGTTTGTACTGTTTAATAAAGCACTAAAATGAATAAAGCTTACCTGAGCTATTATAGACAGAATGCCTACCACAGCTATAAATGCCGCAATGCTAGCAGATCCAAAACCTATAACCTGAAGAGAAGCAGAAAACGCGTAAAACAAATGCCAGACACAATCCAGGACAATCACTAGCAAACAGGTATCTTCTTCAAACAAAACACTGATCCCCACTTATAATCTAAATCCATACAGGAAGTGTCCACTTTTGAGAATAATCCTTAGCTCGACTGCTTGCCCAGAAACCCACACAAGAAAGAAAGAACTGCCGTCAAGAAAGAAGACAGAGGAAGTCATGTGTCTGGAAATCAAAGGTCTCTATCCCCTCTCACAGATGGAACAGCTCTGCAACAGGCAAGATCCCACCTTGAGAAACACAAAGTGCTGCACTGAATGGGAACAAAGGTCTGCTTCACATTACGAACACACGCTTAAGGTATGCCAGGGTTACGCATCAGGAGTCAAGTGTTATTCGGTTCTTGGCTTAGCAAAGTACCCTGCCTTTATTTTTCAAAGCTGTATTTTGCCAGAAAGCAGTTTTCTGAGCAAGGTCTTCAACAAGTTAACAGGTCTTAGGGAATAGTTATTCAAACATTCTTAGTAAGATGTGAAGACACCAACACCTACCTGTCGCAAATACAGAAAAAAGCTAGAATATTGGCCAGCCTCAGGCAGATAGGAGAGAAACACCGTAACGCAGATGGGGAGTATCATAGAATCTTTTCTAACTTTCTTCAGAGACTGTAAAACAAAGAAACAAGTATTTGAACACTTACACAAATTCTAATGAAAACATTAAGGAAAGCAGAAGGTGGATTCACTTTTTTAAAACTCATTTTTACCCGCATATACAACTCAAAAAAAAAAATCACACATGGAAACAGCTAAGCTGAGCATTAAGTTAGAAAAAAAAAAACCTGTTATATAAGATTTGTGGTATCTTCTGCAAAGTTTCTGGTTGACTTTTGAAGCTACTGTTCAGTGCCAAATTACAAGTATTCATTGAAAACAGCATCATATAACACCTAGGCAAATGCATAATATCTTCTGATTGATCTCCATAATAATCTGTTCTGAAAGATGCTAGCAAATAACATTTGCTAGCTCATTGCAACTGTTTCTCCTCCCAAACTATGAGAATATTTTTCCTTGTACATTTCTTGTTCATCCACAATATGAACCAGTTTGAGTAACAAATAAATCGTGGAAAACAAGTTCTTTAACTGCAGTCCTTCAAACACATCACTTGTCTTTTAACATTCACAAACAATTCCCAACAAGATGGATCTCATGAAGAACACTCACTCTCTTAAAATATCAAGGTGTAACACAAACAAAATCACTGAGTAAGTGTGAATAAGTGAACAAGTTACTAGAAAGACTGCAAGGTATGTTTTAACCCTTCCGATACATGCCTGTAGAACAAAAAAAAAAAAAAAATCAGGCTTTATAGATCCTTTTTATATAAAAAAGAAATCACATATAACCATAAGTAGAATTCAAGAGTGGGGAGAGCTGAAAAGTGCAAAGCACAAAATGAATATAGCAAAATCTTACAATATTGGATTTTAAGGTCTGTAGCAGGATAATAATTCATCATAATTCATTTCTCTTATCATAAAGTTAGTTAGAAAAGTAAAGCCTTTTCCCTTTGGATTTCGCATTAAACATCATTTCCAATTGAACAATCATAAAAATCCACAAACTTTGGTTTGGTTTTTAAACGAAGCTAAAATAAATCTTTTTGTGCAAGAGCAGAGAACGGAGATGGTATACTGAATAGTCAAGTTATCAATAAGATTAAAGATTTCTCAAGCTTACAAAATGTAATTAATTACTATTATTAATGAATCATCAATTATTTACTAATTACTTATTGAAGTGCATCTTACCGCAAAAGGGTCTGCTTGTTCCCATGATATAGAAGCTCCCCATGAAGCAGGTCTCATTTTTTCTGGCAGAGATTCTGGTACAGCTAACAGGATGAAGCAGATGTCCACAACAGCCACCAACGTGGCCACCAGTACAACATGGTTATCTCCATAGCTGGCAGACAGGTATGCTCCAATGGCAGGACTAGTTACCAAGCTTGCTGCAAATGTGGCAGATACCTACGCACAAGAACAGTTTACAAACTTGTCGAAGTGGTTATTCTGCCAAACTTGCTCTTTGACTGCAAATCCTGTGGCTCAAAAGTAAACAGCTCTTGACTTTCAAATAGGCTAAGAATGGCTTTTGTTTTCCAATTATGAATTTGATGAGATTTCACTGAAAAAGTTGCCAGTACATTTAAATGCCTGCCTAAACAAACCTGAGTCTCAGCATTCTGAGTAATACATCGAGTAATACATAATGCCTTTGTTAACCGTTCGCATTCTAAATACATAGCTACCACTGGATAGCACAGCAAACTAGGAGATCATTAGCTAGGAAAACGACTTCAGTAACTACTGTATTGCCTCACATCATGTTGTAGTGACATGCAGCTACTAACAGATCATTTACTATGCCCACATAAAGTGGAACGCGATGAAAAATCAAGTGCTGTAGCTAAATTTCACTATAAAAATCATCAGAAAAGGTTAGAATAAAGCTTGAGTTTTTTAATTACTATTGTCCAGTTCCCAAACCAGAATCATTCTGCATAAATATTTTACAGAACAAGTAAGAACAGAAGATAGAAATTTAGTTTTATACCAAGCTGGAAAAAGAATCTTAAGGAAAAGGTGTAACAAACAAACTGATTAGAAAGAGATCCAGATCTCATCAAAACAACCACACTTTTACCTATCACTTTGATAGAAACAGGTAGTCTTAAAATTCTGTAACAAAACCTGTTTGAAGGCAGACAAATATGTGTTCCAAACAGACTTAAGGCTCTCTTTATAGGCAAGAGAAATAAAGTGGGAATTCCACAATTTTTAAAGTTGTGTCGTGCTGTGCTACAACAATACACACGAGTTTGGTTCAAGAGAACTAAGTCTTTTATTTTCTTAACTATTAAACCAACATCTGAGGAATCAAACGTCCCTAAGGCTAGAAGTACAGTACAGTCAGCCAACAATCAAGCTCATGAACATCTGTGTAGTAGAAACAGATGTTGAGAGGATGAAGGGATAAACGACATCCAAAGGCTAACGGCGTTTACCAACAGGCCTCCAAAACCTAAACCAATATAGATATTTAGGAAAGCAAACTAAGCAGGAATTGTGTTATTACTGGAAAGGCTAGTTTGTGTTAACTGAACCATCTTCCTCCTCTCTTGCTAATTAAGAAAGGTCACGACTAACTTACTAGAAATACTGCATTATGCATTTTTGTCCTTCCTGCCCATTTTGACTACAGAAAAAGCCAAGCTTTCTATATCAAAAAAGAAATCACAAACTAAAAGTGCAATTTACAGGTGGTGGAAAGGTATTGTCAGATCAAGTATTGAATATTTGCATTGCCTTTAACAACATTCCGTGTTCTGCCTGCAAAATTTAAAACGTTTGTTACACATGCCCTCTTACGCAAGTAAAGTTGCCAAATTCTTATTCTGTTCCTATGAGCACAGAGCAGTCTGTGCAGCAGTAAAACGTCTAAATTAGATTTCCCAAACTCTAACTCAGTGCCTTGATGCATGGTTCCTTCCTTTCTCTAGCAATCTCATTACATTAATCAGAAAACAATCTGTGCATCAAAACACAAGTTCCGTATGAAGGTCATAATCTGACCTTTTTTTTTTTCCCCAAGTTTAGCATATCTTACCAGTCCATAGGCTGTAATTCTTTCATGTTCTTGTGTTACATCAGCTACATAGGCAAATATTACAGAAAAGGTAACAGAAAAGATTCCAGATACCGAAATCATAGCGAAGTACCACCTAATGATTTAAAAGCAACAATTAGAAAGTTTAAGCTAAAACCTCTTGCTTCTCTCTTACTAATCAAGCAAGTTTGTATTTAATTTACGAGAAGTATTCCTCAAGAACTAACACACAGCTTTACTGGAGATGAATGATTGTGCAGTCTCACCTAAATATTGGAAAACACCATTTGAATTTTTTATATTCTACTGTTTACTTCACATCAGCCTAAAAGAAGCGGTCCTCTCAGGACATGATATCTATACATTTTCACACTCTCAAAGCTGAAGGAAGTTTGAGTTATGAAAAAGTAATTATCTTAGAACTCAACTTCTCAACCACTTAAAGAATAAACTATCATATATAATGTTTCGGAAGCTGAACTCTTGAATGCACTCAGTGTACACAAAGTTCTTCTGCAATCTTCCTGTTTCACAGTGAGTGCAAATGAAACTGAAACCGAGTCTACTAAGTTTAGACTTCAAAGCTGCCTAATCAAAGAGTTAAAAGATCTCGTTTGCAGCAATCGTACTGTTCTGTGGTCAATAAATTCTAAGGTTCGTTGAGCTTTAAAAATATGTTTATTGCAGCACTGTCAGTCCTCAGAGGAAAAAAAAAAATAACGGCTGAGCTTAAAACTGAGTTAGACAGGGCTATCAAACCACAGTAATTAAATCACATTCTGTAACTTCCACTTTTAAAATACACAGTTTTAACACCTCTTAGACAGAAAAGCTCCAGAATAATGCAATCACATCTTGAAAGTAAAGTGGCTTTCTCTTGTCTTATTGTCCCTCTCCCACTTTCCCAAACTACTCCTCTGATTGAATTTCTGCTTTACTGGCAAGCTCACTACTGCAGTCTGTACCACTTACCATGGGCTTATTCTCATTAATGGAATTGGGGCACAGGTGAAGAAAACTGTAAGAAGAAGAAAAAATTTTCTTCCCCATGCGTCTGACAGAGCACCTATTAGCGGAGCACTGAGAAAGGACAAAAAACCCTGTGACAAGAAAAACAATTAGTATGTCTCTATTTACATTTCCAAGTTTCACTTTAACCACAATATAAAAAAGGACTAAAACTGCAATTTGATTTGAAATTAAACACAAAATCATAGATAACTGAAATTGTACACAATTTCTTCTACAGTCTTCTGTGATTCTGATGTTTTATGTTTCAAATCTATTAAACCTGAGTGCGTTAAAAAAAGACATTTTCAAGATCAATTTGATTCAATATTGAAGTACCATACAGACTGCAAAGACTTCCTAAAAATCTCCAAAAGCTACAATCTAGTTTCACAAAGGACATTTTCTTAGACTCTATCACGAGTTTAAGTGCTAGATCCCAAACCCAAATTCATCTCTATTTTGGGCTGTCTTAAGTGAGAGTTTTGGGCAACCATACTGTTCTCTGAAACAGATTAAACAGAACACTTACTGCTTTACACTACATATTTATCATGTTCAGCACATTTGTACATTGCAAAAACTGTCAGGACCATTTGAGCAAGCTTGACAACTTGAGACAGTGGAACATCGTTAACGATATTCTAGTGGCAAAGGTCAGACTTACAAGTACAGTTGTTGTAGAAAAATTGACTAAGGATCAAATACTACTTTTGCAGCATTTCATAAAATCCTACAATCTAGGCCTCAAATCTGGTCTGCATTATATAGAAGAATCAAAATAAGCACAGCCTTTCACAGGTTTGTTAACTGCAAAACCTCCAGAACAGATACATCTTCCTCCTAATTAGTATATTGTTCTCTCATCAATCCAACTCTGCCATAAATCCAAACATTAGTAAATACATGGGTCTGTAAGCATCTCCATACACTGGAAATCTACTCCAGCTAACTTTAGCTAACCTTGAAATTAATGTTTGTGCTCCTTAAAGTCAGATTTCAGTAGAATATGAACTAACATGTTCTGCGGTCACCCGTAACGCTTTTGATGTTTCATAAACAGCATTTTAAAGACAATACTGGACACTGAAGCGCAAGCTCGCTCTGGTCTGTGCCCCCCAGTTTACCACACCTATTTAGAGCAATACATACACTGAGATCATGATATTAATGCACTTTCCTACAGATATGCTCTGTTGAAAACATGGGGAACCCTCCGTTCACTACTTTTAAGTGATACTCATAGTTACACTGCGCTGTGAATGGAGTTGAAAGAAAACACCAAGAGGAACCTGACCTTTGTTTTTTTAGGAGAACAACGCAAAGTTAACTTCCTCTTTCACCCCTAGTTGCTGGTGTTCTGCTAATCCACCATGAAAGATAATAAAATAGGAAGTCCATCCTAAAGATGTCACGTTCTTACAGCTAAAAACAATGCTTTAGATTTGTTACAGAATACGAAGCTAAATAATTTCTGGTGCTATATTTCAACTTCGTCATAAGTTAACTTAAGTGTTTTGAAGCCTCTCAGTACGGCAGTTAGCAAAGAAGAGACTTTCAAGTTTTAGTCATGCTAGAGAAATTTTGCAAGCTTTTTTTGTGGCGACAATCCAGCACGACCACTGTGTGACTGCAGTGGTACCAGTAGCTGTAAACTGCCGTAAGTATCTTGACCATAGAATCCTCGAAAATGGATTAAAGAAAACAAAAAAAACCCAAACCAAAACAAAACAGTTCTGCTGAAAATTAGCTTTTATACCACATCTTGGACAAAATCACAGTGTTTAAGTGCTTCATTTTTTATCTCAATGGTTATCATCATGGGTGCATCAATATGCTTCTGATATAAAGCATCTAACATTAAGAAGCTGACATTAAAACCTAGCTCCATTCTCAAAAGGATCTTTATCAAGATTACAATAGCTACGACTGGTACCTATTCAAACGAAAGGAATTTAAACTTCTGAGAAATATTCCACTTGTTTCAAGATGCTACCATTTAGCAATAAATCCTGAAGCAAGCTCAAGCACAAAACCATTACAATGAAAAAATGGTTTAAAAATTAATTACATTCCCAGCGGTTTGGATGTTCTTATGGAGAATGCAGGAAAGAGAAATTACAAAACAGGAACACACAGAACATTTAGGTTAGAAGTTTTAAAAAAAAAAATCTTACCTTAACACCTTGAATAAGACCATTCATTAAAAATGTATGATGGGAAAACGTTTCATGTAAGACCTAATGGGGAAAAAAAGTATTATTTGAATCAGGAGAGACAGAAGAAACTTGATTCGGAGTTTAAATTTGCTTTGTAAAACAGGATAGCTCTATTGGAACTTGTTTATAAAGTATCTTATCCCAGAATTATCATTTTATTTCTGTTCATGAGAAAATATTGACAAGGTTTAATATCAATTTATTGGCATAAATTCCTCTGTTGGCACGGACTGCATTGTACTGCAGAGACAGTTTGGTTTGGGATACTTTGCTCAGAAAGGAGATCAATGTAAGCAAAAAGTATCTCCATGTGGTACAAATCACAGAATTTTTGAGAGAGAGAATTCCTTCAAAAGCTTGACTCAATCACTGGTACTAATTAGGAGCAAAAATGAGATTCAGCTAACTTACTCTGTCAAGAAAACAAACAGTGCTATCTTCAAAACTGCCCAAAAAGGCACTGTGAAAACTGATTCTGAACCAACTGCAGATATTCAACAGTCATATAGTTAGAAACCCTTCTGATGAACAAGTTGATGCTTATAAACACCAGCAACAGTTCTGAGCATTTCATGTATCCTTTAAGTACAGCTACGAATCCATTTAAGGTGCCTTTACCAGCAGGCTTAATTCAAGGACAAGCACGTTAATCTATACTAAACAGATTTACCATAAATATGCAGGACAGTTAAAAGGCCTCACAGGTGGATTAAAAAAGTTATTGCAATGATCGAAGCATGTATGCACACACACTTCAAATTCATTTGCTGTTTTTATCTATAACTAAGTGCCAACAACTACAAAAATTACTTATATGCATGCTGGCAAAACCACTAGCCTGAAGAAACACTATTCTTTAGTGTGACTGAACAACATCAGCATCATTTTTCAAGGATGACTGGGATTCTCAAATCATAGGTTTAGTAAAGGTGGTTGTTACCTTTGTTGTGACCAGTTAACTACTAGTCAGATAATTCTGCTTATTTATCCCTCCTTTTCCTTCTGGTGTCATCTTCTGTTTAGATATTTAAAACAATTTTGCACCTGCTTGACCAGTGATCTTACGATACGAACGAAGAAAAAAAAGTCAGGGTTCAAATTAGAGCAGATGTCTTCCAAGTTAAAAAAAAAAAAAGCAAGCAGGAAGCTCACAGAGTCAAATCTAATTATTTTTCTGTAAAGTGTTTTCCAGTATTTTTCCTGGGAGGCAACCACTGCTGTCATTGGTTCAAGCTTTTGAGATTAATTTCTGTTACTTTACAGACAAGAGAAATGCAACTTGACAAACTGGCAGAGGGAACTTCCTTACACTAGTTCTGAATCCACATATTTCAGTCAAAAGAAGAATTCAGCTTTATACAGGAACATTTCATAACATTCCTATTAGACACAGTGCAATGACAGATAAATTTCAAGAATTAACATTTCAGCTACACAGAACCATAGAATGGTTAGGGTTGGAAGGGACCTCAAAGATTATCTAGTTCCAACCCCCCTGCCATGGGCAGGGACACCCTCCACTACACCAGGTTGCCCAAAGCCTCATCCAACCTGGCCCTGAACACTTCCACGGATGCAGCATCCACAACTTCTCTGGGCAACCTGTACACTATGGAAGAACTATTAAAGAACCTACCTAACATTTAGTTTTATTAAAGCGAGGAGTGTTTTGAAGACTGTGTAAGAATTACTATTTGCATATTATCCCTTTAAATGAGAAGCGTCAAGCTAGGGAAACTTGAAGTTGAGCATTTTGGTTAAGAAAAAAAGGAAAGAAAAAGAAAAAACGGAAACAAGAAAGACCATCCAGTAAGCTTCCCCATATTTTGCCACTGGCAAGACAACATGACAGGATGGTAATTTAGTGAGATAACAAATTTTCATAAAGTAGGTAACTGCTTACATGGACTTTTTTTATTATTAAGCTATATTAAAAAGCGATTCTCTTTAGGAAGGTGAGACAAACATCTTTCAGGAGTTATGTAGACGATTTTATTTGCAGTTTGGGGAAAGAAAATAATTAATTTCAAGGTCTTTCAATCCCACAAGACCTTCCTCATGATGTATTCAAAGTGCTCTCAGATATTATCTGACAAAATGGTATGGTCCAGATGAAAAACTGGACTAAAAGACTTGATGACTTCTCTCAGGCAGGCCTGATGACTCTGACCCATGTCTTCAGATGAAAGGCTTCATATCCTATTAATAAACACTTAAATTATCTATTCATCTAGAAAATAACTGCATTCCAAAACAGATTAAATACTTAAAAAATCGTTTTCTTATATGAAAGCCTTACATTGAACTTCAAGCTACATGCTGGCAAAACAGCAACCTCACAACAACGTACAAAGCTTACTATGGGATGCATAGTGTATTCAGCTGTTATGACTGGAAGATGAATAAACTATATAGTCTTAAAAAAAGCCAGAATTTTCAGAGTGACTTTCATCAATACACTGATGTTACTCTGAAAGGCAAATAAAAGTTAAAGAGTAGTACACCATTTTTCTAATTTATTTTCCACTATCTTTTAGTCTTTCAGCAGTCCAGATCTCAGCTGTAGTATACTAATATGACACAGTGTTGAATGTTAAGACTTTTGGAATTCAGTTAATGAGGTAAGCAGGATGGACAAAGCAAATTAAAACCCCAATCCCTAGGAATTAGCAAATTAACTTTTGCCATTACTGACAAGATGACAGCTGATGAGTGAATACTTACCGTTAGCATTGGAGTTGTCAAGAGCCCCCAGGCAAAGAATTCTAGAAATATGACCACCACCGCATGGTATACGCTTGGCCGACCAATACCTTGTTGCTAAGACAGAAAAACACATGCAATGGTTGTACACATCCAGTTCATTACATGTGCAAAGATCTCTTACAAACATATTTTGAGCATAACCAGCTTTCAGGATGACATACTATCAAGCCCTTGGGAACAATAATAAGACAAACAAGGGTGGAGAAAAAAAATTACAAAACGACTGAAGATCTCCAGGGAGCTTGAGAAAGTTTGTTCCCTCAAACTCTTGCTGACCAAAAAGAACTATTTACCCCGTTCCTGACATTGCTCTGTAGTCCTCTCACCTCTAGCATGCCTTTAAGCTTCCTGCTCTTTTAGTACTACTCACAATCCTTCCGCAGCAGCACAACAAACGGTGTAAACCTCCCTGCTACCTCCGCAAGTGGCAATAAAACAGATCTGCTTTATGAAGACCACATTCCCATTAACAACAAAACTAAGAAAACTTACATGATCAGAAAAGCACCTATTTTTGTATTTGAAACTGCCAAAATATGAGAAAAGAAGGGGCAGCTTATGCTGTCTGTACAACTGCTTTCTGTTGACTGGTGACCAACTCATTTCATTCTTGTGCGTGCCCATAAACCAGAGACCCAGGAGCCATTCTGCTGGTCAACAAATCATCTCAGGAAGAATTAGCAAACTATGGAAGTGCTCGTTATGCTGCGAAACCACTGTCATTCAAGACTCAAGGCCTGGATCCCAGTCGAGAGATCTGGAATCCTTCTATCCAGACAAACCAGGCAAAACACTTGGGTAAAGCAGATTTAACCAGAACTGCTGCTTTCTTCCATTTTTGTATGCCACTTGCCAAAGTAACC